GAATGCCAACCCCCACGTAACTCGCGTTCGTCTTCCAGGGAAGATCAGTGCAAGAGGCAGCACCATCAGGGAGACAGACCTGGACAAAGGGTGCTGGAGCGGAGGAGAAGAGCAGCTTGGGGCAGGAGCCCAAGCAGAGAGCTGGCCAGCCTGGGTTTTAGCCCCAGTCCCACGTGCCCTGCCCTGAACATCTGACCGGCCGTAAGCAGATCTCTCTCCTTGTTTCCGAGCTGGTTTCAATCTCTGCTTGTTTTTAATCAAGCTGGAAACTCACTTTTCCACCCTGCTCTGCCCATCCAACTGCTGAACTCATCCTTGGGCTGTTTTCAGTCATCTAAGCCGTGCCTTTGGGAGAGATGCCCAGCAATTAAACCACGTCTGTCCTGTGACATCTGTGCACTTGGGAGGGCCACAAGTAACGCCAGAGTGTCTGCTTGCACGAGGAGAGAAGGCAGAATTACCAGCCAACGCTGGAAATGCCAGTGGAAACAAGGCATTTGAGGAGGACCAGGACTAACAGGGTCTGCACCTCTTGGTTTCGAGGGGGGATTCACGGATGTTCAAACCCTGCTCACTACTCGCCTTCATCACCCAGTTTTACAAAACTGGGGGGAACGATCGAAAATTAACTCCCGTGTAACACACAACTAAGCGCGCTAAACCCTGACGAAGCTGCAATCGCAAAGCTTGGGAGAAGGGGAGGGAAGAAAGAGGGAGAGGAGTTAAAAAAAAAAGAAAAAAAAAAAAAATCAGATCTGTTAGTGTCAAAACCGGGAGCACGTTTCCAGGAAAAGAAACCCCATCTGTACCATTGCTTCCATTGCAACAGGCTGTTTGTTGCCCCTGTTAGCAACACTCTGCGCACACCCGCACACAGGGCTGCCCTGTTCTACACAGTGTAGCTTTATGCTCCTGTAGCTGGTGCAGCCGGGATACGCATAAGGGCCTTTTCTGTTCTAAATCCCAGCAGTCCCAGCTAAAGGAAAAAAATGTCTTGTTTCTTGCTGGGCTCTCGGGGCTGTGTCAATAGAGCCAGGCAGCTGGAAAAGCCAGCGCTCGAGGGACGCGGCTGTCCTCAGCGCTTGCGCCCTGCTTGGCAGCCGGGCAAGCAAACCAGCGGGAGGAACCAGCTTGCACGGGGTGGGATTGCGACCACAGGGGCACGGGCAGCTCCGGCCTTCCACCTCACGGGGGTATCCAACCCCGGCGTCCCCCTCAGGGCCACGCAGGTGCCCTCTCTAGCTACGGATAACAGACACATCGGTTGGAATCTGCCTGCCCACGAGCCCAGCGTGGCCTCCTGGACTCCAGCTTGGTCATTCCTTAAAGGCAAACTCATTGGAGGGCCCTGCTCTCCAGGCAGAGTTTTAACTGTCCGTCTCTGCCTACAGTCTCTCCTGCTTTCTCAACAGGCACCAGCCAGCCCCGAGGATGCCGAGGCTGTTCGTCATTTCAGGCCCTCATTGTTCCTCCCTGCCCCAAACCAGCAGGCAGGCAGCGGAGATGCTCGTTCTCACTGGGTTTATCGCTGCAGCCCAGCAGAGCCGGCTGCGCAGGCCAGGCGGGGCACGAAAACACAGCAGAGCCGACCGGACCCCGAGAACGGGGACAGCCTCCGCTCTCTGCAACCGCATTTTACTTGTTTGCCCAAGTTTTCGATTTCCGGAAATTGTTCGGGGAAAACAGTTTGCTTGCCAGAACTGATCTAAGGCTGGGGTTTTTTTGGGTGTGGGTTACCATCCATATAAACCACACAAAGTTTATTTATTCAGGGGCTGTTTGAGCCTTAAGTTTCCCCAAAGCTGCTGGCGACCGTTGATTCTTGGTTGAAACGCCTCAAAGGGGCTGCATTTCCAGAGCACAGCGAGCTCTGTCAGAGCTTTGTCCTAGGGAGAAACTACTTTAGGAGCCCAAATCCCCCTTTTCCTGGTGTCTGGGAACGGCAATAAAGGCCCACAGGTTATATATGTCCTTTCAAAATCTACCATTACCCCTCGGTCTGCCTGTCCCTCTTTCACCTTGAGGGACGTGTCAGTACAAACGGGTATCTCACACCGACGCCAGCTACTTACACCTGATGCCATTTTATCCATCTGGGAACTGGGTGGGAAGCTGTTGCCCTTCCCTCCTCCAAGCTTCCAGCTCTTAGGGTTGCTGCTTGCTTTCCTCCAGCCAGCACAGCAGGCTGCCACGCGCTGCGCCAAAGAGCTTTGCTGGGAAAGAACGCTTTATTCCTTTGTGGTTAGCCCAAGCTTGTTCGTTGGTAGCTTTTATCCCTTTATTCAGTGCCATTCTGAGTCGAGTGCAAGCAGGGAGGGTTTAGGGCCTTTGTCGTTAGGGGAGCAAGAAATACAACCCACTTGGGGAGCCAGCACGCAGCTCCGCTGCACAGCGGTGGACACGCTGCACCGAGAGGTCACTACAGGAGCAAAACCAAACTGGTTTCCAGTGATTTGACACCAGGTTAAACTCTGCTTCCACACTTCAGTCAGCCCGAGGAGTTCAACTCCCCACTGACTCAGGGAGCGACGAGAAGCTGCACGTAACCAGTCCAGCCAGGGCGAAGGGAGCCAGGCTTCCCAGGAAACCTGAGCCCCGAGCAGCACGAAAACAGCGGCTTTGCCCAGAGCTGCAGCAGCCCCTTCTGCTCTGAATTTCCCCCGATGGCTGTCGTGCAACGAGTTGAACCTTCAGGGTCTCCCCAGCTAACGCCTCGAAGCTGGATGCTGTGGTTTGTGGTTGGGTGGTTGGTTTTTTCCTGAGTTTTCCTCCTCCTCTAGCCCCTACGCAGCCTCGCACCCGCCACCACATCTGAAACGCAGGCCGGGGAGGGCGCGGGGCCTCACCTGGAAGGCATGGCTGGCGAAGCCCAGGCCCAGCTGCCGACACACCACCATGGCCTCCACGGTGCTCCAGTTCTCGCTGCAGACGGTGCCCCACTTCAGAGTGCCGTTGCGCTCGGCCAGGACCTCCACCCGGCCCTCGTAAGGGTTGCGGCCGCCGCTCAGACGCAGCTGCAGGGCGTAAAAAAAAACCTCATAGACACCATAGCCAACGGGACAGGGAAGGTGCGACAGCTGGGCAAGCAACGCTCGGGGGCTCCTCAAGGATTGTGGTTAAAAATCGCTGAGCCCAGCAACCTCAGTCCAGCCGCCAGCAGAGCAGTTAATGCGGTTTGTGCTTCAACCCCCCCACCGGGGACACGAAGCAGCCCAGCCAGGCCCAGCATCTGAATGTGGCCTGTACCAGCTGCAAGAGGGTAACACCCTCCCTGCGAAAGCTCCCCCGCTCCACTCCCCTGGCAGGAGCATTTACGCTGAGGAACCTGCGACTGGTTCAAGCAGCTGAAGTTTTTAAGCTCCACGGGGCAAAGCCACCCGGGCACCGCTGCCCTGAGACCCAAGCGAGATCCCTTCACAACAGGGACATCCACCAGCTTTTACAGGGCCCCTGGACTGCACAGGCGGCAGCTGAAGTGGCACTTTGAGCATCACAGGGGCGTAGAAATGCGCGGAGGAGCTCAAAGCTCGGTACAGAAAGGAGCATCATCCTTACGTCTAATGCAACGCAGACGTTAAAATCCAAACGGAACAGGCACAGCTTAAACGACGAGATTCTGACCCAGATTCCTACCCTCCCTCCAGCAAGGGAGGGCAGATGATGCTCCAGGAGGAACACGCCTCACCACGCTCGCTCGGCTTCTCACCTGATTCTGGAAACCCATCGCCGGGACGTTGCACCTCACGGCAGCATCTTCCTCGTGGTTGCAGCCCTGCGACTCCGTGTTGAACTTGCAATCCGTGACTGATTTTTCAAAGCCCGTACAGTCAATCTCGTTTAGGTGAATGGGACCCATGCCTTGGGGGGGAAAAGAAGAAAAAAAAGAAGAGTCCTTACCTTCTGCCCGTGCTACTGCGTGGTGAAAAAATACCCAATAACAGTTTATTAATACATTGCAGGCATCACACTGGCCTCTAGCATTCAAAACACAGTAATCCTGAAAAAATTCCAGTGATTTCTTGTAAAAATAAAACAAAAAAGCTGCAAGATTATTATTAATAATTTTACCATTAAATTCTTTCCAGTAGTCTCTGGGACTCAAGCACACAAGAATGGCAGAAAAAGCCAAGTTTCCTTTGTTACATAATTTACAAACTTCAGCTGGAGGAATTCACAAATTATGACCTTTTGGCTGGGCCTGTGTGCCGGAATCTGCTCCCAGTCAAACCCTGACATTTAAACGAGACAGAGACACGTTTGCCGGGACAACACAACGTGCCACCCCAGGGATGCACGGGTCAGCGGGACAGCTCCGGGGCAGGTGTGTCTTACAGACTCCAGCACCACGGATGGAAACCAGAGAGTGAACCCCACTGTGCACCGCAGAGGAGGGTCTCGAGGTGTTGGGAGCCAAACTGGATAGTTTGGTTCCTCCCCGGGCAAGCGGCAGCAGACAGTTGTCACGTCCACCAAAGAGCTGCAGCAGAAGGAGGGATACACGTGAGGAGGCAGTAACTCTGCCTGCAAAGCTCTCGGGGACTGTTTCCAAACTGAGCCCAAAGCTGGTTTGGGGGGATGAATCAGAGGTTCCAGCAGATGATCTTCATCACCGAAGAA